AGCCATTTCCATTTCGATTTTGAATGTTTCTTTCTACTTGGCTAGAGTATCCTCAACCATTTTGTCTACTTCCTTGGTGTTAATCATAAACACTTCACGGGATTGTCCTGGATTAGATACCGTTTTGTTAAAAGTGACCGCAGAGTTAGCATCTGACGCTTCATCATCCGAGGATAATCCCCTCTGCATTCTCTGATAATCCCTACGTCTAGTAGTCCCTACACATAGCCGAGTTATATGAAGGGGTCTGAACTAGAAGGTCGAGCCGACATTCCTTTATCAGTCATGTTAATTATGACTTCTGGAAGTTTATCACCTTGAACGGCCGATCGTTTCTTACGAAAACGCTTTGGTTTGGACTTAGCCATTCCGTTAGAGATTCTCTCGAATACCGAGACCCTCTGTGGAGTGGTCTTGGGATAGCTACACGCTGATAATACTGCCTTGATAATATTATACACGGATAGTGAGAGTTCGTTTCTCGGATACTTCTCTTCCGAGACTTGTTCGTACCCCCAGCCCAATAGTACAACTCATCGATATTATGACCAGAGCAATCTATCGCGTGTTGGCATGACTTTTCAGGTATAACGTCATCGTCTGATGAACATGTTTCCTTCTGAGGAATTGTTGCCTTGATGGCGTTCTTAATAGTCACACGTTTGGAGCCATACTTTCGTGAGCGCGGGACCTTAACGAGCTCTTGGGCACTGACTTGCAGTCCGAGACGGTCAGTTACAGGAGTTTTCCCATTATAGAAAGGCTCTAAATTGTTACGAGGGCGTGTGCGACCCCCAGCTCGAGTAATTACTTAGGGTTCAGTCATCGAACCCAAGCGTTCTTTGATGGAAACTTTGCCTCGATCCTTGTACAAAGGACCCAGGCGATCCGCCATCCTCATCTTGAATCGGGATAAGTCTACGCTGCTGTGGGGATCTGGACCCAGGCGATCCGCCATCCTCATCTTGAATCGGGATAAGTCTACGCTGCTGTGGGGATCTGTCAGAGGTGTGTGATTCATCGGGACAGAAACAAGGGCCGTCGAAGGCTTAAATGGGATTGCGGGAGATGAACCGGGTGTGAACCGAACCGAACCCGGTGCGAACCAAACCGAACCGGGCATGAACCAGTGCGAACCACCACTTGGTGGCGCTTGGGCCACAACCACCATTTGGTGGCTCGGTTTTGGCCGAGCCACCAGATGGTGGTTCGCGCGTTCTGGCAGTTCCGAGCGTTGTTTGACTTTTTATCGACACCATTTTGGACTTTGGTTTCCAGACATGGCGTGGTTTCGGTCGCTTCTTGATCACCTCTTTTTGCTTCAAGTCCTACGCTTCTTGCACGAGAATCCGTGCGTGCACAATCAATGGGCGGCGCTTTTGAATGCGCTCCTCATGGGTTGAGCGGGTCCGTTTGACTTGGATCCATTCATCTGCTGTCGGTTTGGAGGAGAGGACATCTGTTTGCTGCTGGGGCATTCCGTGTCTTCTGAGTTTCAGATCCGCCTCATAGTAGATCCCATCAACAGGCTCCAAAGCCTTGGCGAGTCGGCGCGTGAGGCGTTGGCGCTGCCTTTGGTGTGCTCTTTTTGATGAAGTGGGTGCGGCAATAGCGGCTATCTTCTTGAATAAAGAGGAGTCCAAATCTACAGATCCGGCCTCGTTAGAGGCCGTAGGTAGGGGCGTTGCAAGGTGAGATGGCAGTAGCAACAGAGGTCTTTGTTTTCCTGCGCTTGCGAGGGGCGGAGGATCTGTTGGAGGAGGACGACAGATACTCCTCGAACATCAGTTAGTCAAACTCATACTCGACCTCTTATTAAACCGGGATCCGGATCCATGGTTGCGGCACGACAGCTTCTGCAGAGAAGCTGTTGGCTCTCACTGTGGTCGCCAGCATGTTTAGGTCAGAAATTGTTGTTTTCTTTGTCATTGAAACTATTACAACTTTAGCCGTTATAATAAACTCAAATAAATAAAAAGTCGATCTTTTTATAAGATCTTCTTACACAATGAAAATATAAGATTACAATTTCTTTAAACAACACACAACAGATGTTTATCGCCTGTTGTTTGCGTGTGATCTTTACCTGTACCGGAGACGTTGATATCCGTGGACCGCCACGGATCAGGTCTGATTGACAGATTAAAAGTCAAAGCTCCTACTTCACAAAGGAAGTATTCGCTGAAGTGGTAATCCCGACCAAGTGAGATTACAACTCTTCTTGGGATTTAAGACCAAGCTTAAATCTGGAGGAATATGGGGGAAAGGGGTTTCAGATCTCTCGAACTCTCTTTTTGTTTATGGAGAAACTTCGTCAAGATCTGCTAACCCTCTGAAATTCGTGGCTCCACTCTCAATTTTGACAGCACCTCGCCCTCTTGATGTCCTACTGTGAAATGAGCCTCTAGGCTTGTATTTATAGGCTTCAGTTGGGGGGTTTTCTGATAAGAATTATGGATTTGATCTTATTCTCAGTTGACAACTGCCTAATCATGTGTAGAGATGATATCAAGGCAGTTGGGAACCTCTGGAATAGAAGAAATCTCGTGAAAACCCGTCGAAAATCGTCAAAACGCGTTTTCGGACAAAATATGCCAAACCAGGTTCAAACGAACCGAACCGGGTGTGAACCAAACCGAACTGGGTGCGAACCGGCACGAACCACTACTTGGTGGCTCGGCCTTGGCCGAGCCACCATTTGGCGGAGCCAAGTTCGTACCATCTTGGCTATTTTGGTTCTAACTCTCTCTTCTAATCTCAGAATAAGGTGATTCAAGATGCGTTAGAAAGCTGACGAAGAAACCTACAACTTTTATATTTTGAGTTTCTCTAGAATAAAATCACATCATGACTGAAATGTCAATTATTTGTAAGAGCAACCAAATGGTGGGTCGGCACTGTGCGAGCCAGTTCGTACGTCCTCGAGTATTTTGGCTCTAACTCTCTTGTTCGATCTCAGAATGAGGTGATTCAAGATGCGTTAGAAAGATGAAGAAGAGACCTACAACTTTCAATAGCTGATACACACATGGTCTAAATGTAACCTCTTGTGTGAGCCACCAAATGATGCCTCATAGCCTTGCAAACCAGTTCGTACAATCTCGGGTATTTTGGCTCTAACTCTCTCGTTCGATCTCGGAATAAGGTGATTCAAGATGCGTTGGAAAGTTGGAGAAGATACCTACAACTTCCAATTACTGAGCCACTCATGGTATAAATGTAACCTCTTTGTGTGAGCCACCAAATAGTGGCTCGCAGCCTCAGCCTTACGAGCGAGTTCGTACCTTCTCGGGTATTTTGACTCTAACTCTCTCATCCGATCTCAGAATGAGGTGATTCAAGATGCATTGAAAAGCTGGAGAAGAGACTTACAACTTCCAATTGCTGAGCCACACATGGTGTGTGTGAGTCACACATTGTATTTTTCCCCTTTTGGGCGAAACACAAATTCTAGCTGAGTTGTTTTGCCATTTCGTGTGTCACGTTGACTCGTACGCTTAACTGATTCGCATCATACATTTCATTAAGTTAGAGATAATCGATGAACATGTTGGCTACTTGGATCCAGCCGATGAGTGCACGGGCCATTCGGAGCTGGCTGATGAGCGTGCGGGCCACTTGGAGGTGGCCGGTGAGCGTGCGAGCCACTTAGATGTGGCCGGTGAACACGCAGGCCACTTGGTTTTCCATTTTGGTGGCTGATTAGCGTGCTGCCCACTTGGTTGTGGTCGGTGAGCACGCGGGCCACATGGCGTTGGCCGTTCTGGTGGTTCGTTGCTACGTCATCAACGTTTCGCCGATTTGCTTCATGCGCTTGTCGGCGTCAGATGATCCTCTTTGACTCGAACAACCCCCTTCGACTTGGATAATGTTGTTTATCACTTTCTCTTTGTCTCGAGCTGTGTGCGAACAACTATAGGCATTTTTAGACGCCTACAGTTTTGATCTATTTCTTTTGTTTAAAGAAGTCTTATAAAAGACTCATATTTTTGAATCTGTAAAAGTCGATAAATGATTGTAATGGATTCCACTAAGAAATCAATTTCCGATGCAAACATATACTTGCTAGTTTAACAAAAGCACCACTCCACATTCTAATGTAGTTTACACAACTTTCACTAAAACTATTATAAATATGCTCTAGGTGTTCAATTCTTGCCTTCTCTTATTTTATTTTTTCCTCACTTGGACCACTATGAATTGATTTACATCTAGCTTGCATTCTCTTTACGAACATAAATATTATAATAAAAACTAATAATTCAACACCTTGAACTATGTTAACAACACTTTGTTCATCCATACAATCCATCACCATCCATCTATGATACAAACATCAAATTGAAATAATTAATATGGCTAGCAAGCACGACAAATAGATATAAACAATAAAGCATCCATGTGTTATTAATACGTAGTAACTAGTCATCACAACCAACCATGATTTATGGCTTTCATGGAATAATATCATACTGAGGTAATCAAATTGGAAATAAAGAGTTTGTCAATTTACCCATAATCAATACCAAACAATTCAAATATCATTCACAAACTCATAATTAAAGAAAAACAATAGCAAACAGCGCCAAACAAAAATATAATCCTACTATTTTCATTTCACTACCTCAAATCATAAAAAATTAAAACTAAAAAAATACTAGTTACTTTAATTTAAACCATGTGTCAAACATATGGATAGAATTTAAAAATTCAAAAGGATTGAATAATGAAATTATATTTATGTATCAATTGGGTGATAATAGATTGTTTGCATCATTAACAATAGTAAATAGTGAATAATTTTATAAAAGAATTTTATTTGATATACAACAATGAGTTTCAATCAACCAATGCTATTTATATACATATGACAGTAGATGACCTATTTAATCATAATCATCCAAAATAAATGTTACCAAAATAGTAGCATCAATATTTTTCTTTAGTCCTTATTTCTATCTCCTCAAAACAATTAGTAGTCATGCAATAAACAGTAGAGATATTATAAATATCTTTCTTTATCATTGGACGCTTTCATACAAAAGATGAGACACCACTGACAAGATTTGACCTCTTGCTCGCAAGTCTAATCACAACTGATAACCATTTAATGCATTAACTTTGACAAGCCGGTGACACACGTAAATTGAGGCATACAGTACTAAGGCAATACACTACCTAACCTAACATTAATCCTCGAATTGTTCATGCTGAGCTCGGTGGTCACAATATAATGTGATTGGATGGAAGTAATGCTGATAAAAACTTCTTGCCGATTGTGTGAGAATGAGGAGCCACACCATATTCAATGTCAAATAACTAAAGAGATGGCAGCTATAATGATAAACAGGGTCTATAGGATCTCACATATGGAACATATTTAATGAAAATCTGGTGAAGTGATGGATATGACAAATTGGCAACATAGCTAACAGCACGAATCCAAGTGAGGGTCCTGATAGCTGAAGTTTGGTATTCAAACCAATGATAGCTGAAGTTTGGTATCCAAACCAATGCAGCCACTGGCTCTGAGTTTGAGGATTGTGAGAGGCCATGGAGAAGTTCCAGATGTAGATAAAGCTTTCATTAACTCAGCTAGCAAGTTGTTGCATTTAGCTCGACCATTTGAGACCATAGACTTTCCCTTCACGACCTCTATACATTCAGATGACATGTGGTCTCATTCTCATATCATAATTGATAGTCTTCCCATACTTTCAACCAAATGTTAAGATATTACTATTGCTCCAACAAAGAGACCCGACTCTAAAATTGTGCACTCCTCGCGTATTCCTTAACAAGCGATTATAGCTTGAATCTCACAACTGATCATGACAAGAATCGAATCCAACTGCAATATGTCGTCCATCAGGCAGCCAGCTAATGTCGTCCACAGGCCCTACACCTTGTTCCACTGTCACCATCTTTGTTACAGATTCATCTGCTCCATGCCACAAGTGAACTGTATTGCCAAGTGCAAGGGAGAGGAAATTCTTGCTTTCTCAATCTAGCAAATTGAGATACAAGCCTTCAATTAGGCAAAGGGCGTGCACTATATCCTCTCTATGAAATATCGCCATAGTGAAGCACACGTATTATAAACAATTTACTTCTCTGATGCAGTCAAAATCTCTGTAATTTGGCAAGATATAAAATATTTAAATAACCTAATTGTGCATTTGTGCATCAAAAAGTGTATTGATATTATAATCAAGCCGGAATAGAAGGGTGGTTCTTAATTGTACTTGTTGGTCCAAAAATTCTTTTTCTTCTACAGATATAAAATCCAAAAGATTTTCATTTTGTTTCAGGGATTTAAGCTTTCCTGTGTTGTTTAAAGAAAAGAAATGTATTCTTTATTTCCTCGGTAGAAGTATAATGAGGTGAAGGAACAATAACACGTGAATCATATATTGTCAAGTACTGCACCTGTGCTGTAAAAGCTAAAAAACAAGGAAAATCATTAAGAACTCAAGGAATGCCCATTCTCTTCTCTAAACAATCAACATTTTATTCAAAGCTAAAAGTCTTACATGTATAAGAATTCTATTTATAGTATCCAATGGGCTAATAAGCAAACATAGATTGTATATTGTTAAAGAAACCAGGTAGCTTACACATGAAAGACAGCAGCTGAATTCTTTTACCAGTAACCTATGTGATCTTTTAATGTGTTTAGTAACAAATTTATTTCAAAGGCTTGAATTGAATAATCTTTGATCATCATTCTATTTTTCAAGCTGACCAGCTACTGTTAATGTTTTGACTGCATTTAGATAAGATAGCTAAGATGTAGCTATTATCGGTTATTAGATAAGGAGGGAGGGGAAAAGAAAGTGATTTGAGTTTTCTTGGTCATTACGATAAAGAGAGAATTACTAAGAGTTTGGATGTAAGCAATAAGTTTGAGGTTGAGTGCAATGCCAAGCTTTTACAACGATTGTTAGCTAACAATGTATGTGGTTTCATGAGTGGTGGTGTGGTGTATTTTAAGTACCTACCAGACTCCAAGGTCATTCTTAAACACCAACTGTAGTGGTATTTGGGACATCTAACAAGCGTTGCTGTCTACTGTTGGAGCCAAACAGGGTCTTAGTTCCTTATTTCTTCATGGGTGCGCACACGGAGTCAATGTATGTAATGGATACGTTTACAACAGAAACACACTGCAATAAGCTACAAAGACTTGGCAGCAAAGTTACAATCTAAAAAACAAGAAGGTCTTATCACCCCGAAGAGATGAGTATCATGAGTATAGTTCATACAAATGTATATAAAATGCATTTTTGTCTACTGTTGAAGCCAAACAGGGTATTAGTTCCTTATTTCTTCATGAGTGCGCACACGAAGTCAATCTATGTAATGGATACATTTACAACAGAAACACACTGCAATAAGCTGCAAAGACTTGGCAACAAAGTTACAATCTAAAAAACAAGGTCTTATCACCCCGAAGAGATGAGTATCATGAGTATAGTTCATACAAATGTATATAAAATGCGTTCATTAGAATAGAATAAGAAAGGATTATTCACCTTGTTTACAGATGCCTTTTGGCTCACCCGAAGCAAGTTCATTAGAATAGAATAAGAAAGGATTATTCACCTTGTTTACAGATGCCTTTTGGCTCACCCGAAGCAACAGAGCAGTAACAAATTCCAGTGTCATGATTCACCTTGTTTACAGATGCCTTTTGGCTCACCCGAAGCAACAGAGCAGTAACAAATTCCAGTGTCATGACTCATGTAATTTGCATTTGGAAGCTTCTTCAGAACATTTCACATGTCTTGAATACTGCTTCTGGCATCTCTAATTTCATCATAAAGTGCAAAAGTGGTCGGTGGCTCAGGAAGGCTAGCAAGATAGCATTTTATCAATGTTGCCACATCAATTGCGCTTACATCATCTGGCAACTGTGCATTCCAGTCTGCAATTAAATTGTATCATTAGGACCACTATTATGATCAAAGAAGATATACACATAATCATAAGCAATTTTGGTACAAGATTTCTTAGTAGTCAATATTCTACTCAGTAGCTTAACTTCTGTTGTTAAAAGGTGAAAACCATTTTGATGACTTAATATCTGTTTTCACCTGATATTATTAAATGATCTGCACATCGTACCAAGACTTGAGGAACAGGCCTAGTTGACTGTTGACGTTGTACGATAATCTCAAGTGGGACACCAAATACTGTAAAAAAAACCATATCGTTCAGATACTATTTTCTTCAAGAACAAACAACAAGATTAATATGGGCATAAAATTAAGTTAGCAACATCTTAGTAATATGTGACATCGCACATCTAGAAAGGCAGAATACCCTCTAGTGAACCTTTCTGCAAGCAACTTAGTGAAAAGTATCATATGGTTCAAAGACTATTTTATCCAAAAACAAACAATAACATTAATATGGCCATAAAAGTTAGTAACATCCTGATGCAATGTGCCATCACCCATCTAGAAAGTCAGAAGTTTCTATTGTTAATGTAAGAAGAAATCCAGGAAAAATAGATAGACAACATACCCAGTGATCAGTGCATGAAATTCTGCAACAAGAGAGGGATGGAATAGAAAAAAATAGTGAAAACTATAGTAATCAGCATTCAGCAATTAATTCCTCAGCCTAGAAGACAGTAGGAAGAACTCGGGGTCAATAAGGTCACAGGACTCACATCTGAGCCCTCAAGCCCATACCACTCGAGAACAATTCAAAGTCAATGTGATAGAAGTTCAAGTACCATATGCTTTGGATAGAAGTCTAAACAATAGTAATTGTTGTGGCTCTTGGTTTAAGTTTTGAATTAATTAATTTAATTCTAAAGTAATGGCTATATTTTGTGTAGTTGATGAGACATGACAGGGTTTAATCTTGAAAGAGGAACACACAGAATCACAAGGAAATAGAGATATAATCCACATTGATGGCAACGAAATACAATAGTGAAACTTTCTGCAAGCTATTTAAGGAAACAAAGATACATCTCACAGGACTGAGAAGGATGTTGTTGGCAGATCAGGAAACATATGTTTCTGGATCTGTGTAATTGTGGGATAACTATCAAGTACAAGGAAATAGGTTTACGATTGCCTTACAACCTGTCACGCTTTATGGCCAAAGAAAGATGGAGACAGAAGTATGCACAAAAATAAGTGTCGCTAAAATATGAATTTCAGGATGAATGAACAGAAGTATACTATAAGATGGAGTAAAGATTGATTGCTTTTGTAATACATAGAGATAGCTAAACTTGAGGCTAAGATAAAAGAATTGTCTGAGATGCTTTGAACATGCAGCAGATACTCATAAGTATGCCAATAAAGAGTCCAACAAGAAAAACACAACATGAAACCTGGTTAAGGTTGGTTTTAAATTTAGAAAATAAGTTTTAGGAAGTTGATTATTTATAGGCACAAATTTTTATGTGTGATTAATTTCTTGAGATGTCATATGCAACAACGTTAGTCTAAAATGTACAGGAGTGCTAATGCTTGGCCTAGAGTATGTAAACAGTTTATTTTATAATAAGAATAGAATGAAAATAATAGTCACTATAGGAGCAGAAACATAAGGAGCATATAAATTATCTCCATTGAGGAGTTTCTAAGCTTTGTTAAAATTTGCAGCTGAAGAACCTCCCACAAATTAAAATATAACTTTATTCAATAAGGCATTTTCTCAAACAATAGAAGTGCCTGGAGAAAGATTAACCAATAAAATATCTAACAATAGAAATGGATGAAAAGAAGCTTGGAAGGTCACAAGCAATTTACTTGTATCTCCTTCTGCAGGGAAATTATACATGTTAATCAGGCTCCATGTAAGAATGATACTGATAGACTCATTAAGATATTAGATCAAATAATTAACGTATATCTCCTTCTATAGTAAAATTATAACCCATGGTTTCTCAACCTTAATCCTAATAGTAGTGTCCATGTATACCTCTAAACTCCCATTTTAATTAAAAAATTCAAGCCCCAAATTTTTTTTTAAAAAAACTATAAAAATCACACAAGAAAAAAATTAAATTCGAATGAATAGAACCTAAATTGCCTCAGAGAAAATAATTATGTTGGCGTTGTGCTTAATTTCAAAATGCGAAAATTTTAGAATGAAAACCTATGAAATTGATTGCAAAGCCAAAAGTCTGGGATCATGATTATAAACATTAATTCACTAAATACACAAATATTAAGGTGTTTAACTATGAAGTTAGTAATCAATATCAACGATTTGGTTGGTTTTAAATTTAGATTCTAACCTCCAATTGGAGTCGTATAGTTGTTTCCACTCCCTCCGTCAAGCACCAAAGTGCCTCTTTCTTCAAACTCAATATCCTTCTCTGTTTTTTCAACTTCAACCGTTGGATTTTTCACCAACGAAAGCTTACAAAAGTGATATGCACTCATCCTAAATGCAAGCAACGGCTTTCTGATGCCAAAAAATAATAGTTCAAGAACATATAAAGAAAATTCGACATCGGGGATAAAAGAACCAATGAATACAAAACTCAAACCTTGACAGGCCACTTTCTTAATACATCCGGATATAATAAGTTGTATGGATTCAACTTACTTTCTAAACTCGCTACAACAGCTGCTCGAATATTGAAACCCTCATCGCTTGAAACTGCAAGGAATCGAGAATTAGGGCAAAATTAGAACAAAAGGAGAGGAATGAAGAACAAAAAGAGGAGAGGGTGAATTGAGAAGAACTAATGATTAGAACTAGGGTTTTTTGTAGCGGAGTGAACAATAAGAAGAAACCTTCTTCAAATCATAGGTAGAATTCGTTTTAAATTTAAAAATCATAGGTAAAATTTAGAAATACCTTCTTCAATGAAATTCCTTCCTGATCCTAACCGACGTCCAAATTCTGAGAACTGAGGAGATGATGGCGGAGGCATGATGTTGATGATTAGGGCAATAATACTCATCTTTAAGATGGTGGGACAGCGTAACCGATGAACTGAGGAGATGGGCTGAGGAGAAGGGTAACTGATGAACTGGTGAGATGAGAGGAGGCACATAACCAACGGAAATTTAGGGCTTTTGATTAACGACGATGATGATGAAAATTTTGTGTAACGATTATAAGGGATAACTTTGGTATATTTAAATTGGTTGAAGGGTAATTTGGGGAGGAAAAGTTTTTCATGAACTCCCTCTTTTAAAGGGTAGATGATACGCAAACACTACAACAAAGAGACACTCTAAGTCTCTAAAAAAAGTCTCAAAATGCCATAATACAACATAAACACCTATACTAATTAGTTAATTAGTTTGTTAATTATTTAAGCTAGAGACAAGGACAATGCCAAGAATCAAGGTACTATAAGCAACGAAAGCTATTAGCTATCTTTGGGGTCTAATGACATTTATAATCATATATAGACTTGATCACTCATTTGTCTCAAGTTTTACAAATTGGTGAGATTTTGAGGTAGACCAAAGTAATAAAACCTAAAAAATTAAAATTTGGTCGAATCATATCAAAAATTGCTAACTTTCACAAAATTAAGTTTTACAAGTTGGTGTGATATCAAGAGTTGATGATAATTATTTTTTCAAGTGAGTAATAAACCCAAAAATTTTAAAAATTAGGGGAATCATACCTGTAATTGCCGACTTTCACCAAATCTAGCAACAATCCGCAGGAATCCCCTAAGAAAGGCAATGTCTTTTTACGAGATCCAGCAAAAATCTGAATTAATCAATAGAGATATAAGGAAACTAAGTGATTTCCCTAAAATCAGAAGAAATCAGCAAAAATTAGACAACAGCAAGCCACTAATTTCGTAGATCCGACGTGCGAAGAGAGAAGAAATGGCGGGATTTGACGCTAACCCTAGTCAACTGAGTGATTTCTCCAAAATATTGTAGATCTAACAAAAGGACACAAATGGAGAGTTTTCGTAAGTTATCTACTCGATTTTAGAGAAAATCGCAACAAACGATTTAGCTGAGGTGAAACAGTTTTCCGCCGCTGTAAATCCTAACTCTCTCTGCGAACCAAACCCACAAAAAGAAACAAAGAGAAATAAAATGTCCGAGGTGGACATTGTGTCAGGAGAGGGAAATGGGTTTCGGGCCTCTTTTTTAAGGAACCAAGCAGCCCATCAATGTTTCTTTGGCTTTGAATTAGTTCAGACTTGGCTCATCCTCTTCTAGATGCCGATGAAAACTATTTATCTCCACTATATCTAACTGACCACGGCTTTTATATCAGTTATGTTAAGAAATATCTCCTCCACTAAGTTAATTATTATCGTAATTTTTCAGTAGTTTCTACAACAAAGTTTTTTTTAAGCTCACCCCTTATTCTTTTTTTCTACTAGTATTAAGCCTGCACATTGTTGTGAGTATTATTCACCAAGGTATCTATCGCCAAATTGATTATATGGTTTTTATATAGGCAAAATTAACGAATTGGTATATCTTGTAGACCATTAGTGACACATTGGTATATTTTCTTACTTTGACGATAAGTTGGTATATTATGTAGTTTACGACGATAAATTTGTCTATATTTTATCTAGAACCAAAACTCTAGTCAAATTGAGTCATGTGACTCCTCACATGTAGTTAATGTAGATTAAGTGAGGTTAGGTGGTAGAGTAGTTGAAAGAAGGAAAAAAAAAATCCTCAATTTAAACCCTCATCTCCATGGAGCTATTAGTTTGCTTTATCCATATTTATACTTGAGTCTAAGCTTGAGCAAGAGCTTCATGATAAAAAATCTAACTCCAATTTCAGTTTCTCTAGCCAATTTAATGCTAGGAGGAAGAAGAACAAAAAATTCCCAATTTGAACCCTATTTTGAGCCCTAATGCTAGAAAAAACTTCTTTTTAATAATTTAGTTGATTCTAATTACCGCCATCTTGACAGCCACGTAGGTAGCATGTGAGGATCATGTGACTCAATTTTGCTGAAATTTTAGCTCCGGCCAAAATATAGGCTAATTTATCATCATAGTCAACATAATATACCAAATTGTCGCCGAAGTAAGAAAATACACCAATATGTCACAAATGGTCAATAAAATATACCAATCTGATAATTTTACTGTTTAGTATAAAACTATTTATAAAAACTTCAGCGATAATTTTTTCACTATTATACGCGGAGTGAATCTCCACATCAATTAATAAAATAATATACGCAAGAATAAAAGAAAAAAACATTAAAAATAGTAGATATGAACAATGTTTATCTCGCTAAACTTTATTTGTACGGTTTGGCGTTTTGCTTTACAGCGAGGAGGAGAGAGGATGGTTCTAAGAAATACTGTTTAGTTTCACTTGCGCTGGTGATTTGGTTGGATTGTGGCTATAACCAGCTATTAGAATGCGAGGAAAAGTTTTTGAGAGAATATAAAAATGATTGGTCAGTACTGAATTGAGGATCTTTTGGTCTCAATATTGTGATACGCATGTGGCATACTTTCGCGGAAAGGAATATGGTCCTTTTTAGAGGTATCCATGATCATGATTTGGTAATGAAATGAATGTGATTGTTAAATTTGGATGTGTTGTCAATAGTGTACCAAATAAATTTGTCAAGCTCTTTTTCATGATTAAACACTACTATAAGATTTTAGGATTGATGATAATTGTACAGTAAGTGGCTTACCTATTTAGTACTATCTCCTACTTCTAACATTTTTATGTAAAAAATAGGGCAAGATGCACTATTTCAAAAGATGTATATTATATAAACCATATATGTGCAAAAGAGAACCTAAAGCAATATTAAGAGCAATAGAAAGGGAGGACGGAGAGGACCGTAGCGGTCACCTCATCCAACATTCGAAAACTCTAAATCTAAACTAAAGGTATAGTATCAAGACCTATCAACAACATTAAGCAGCTGATAAACTATCAGCAAAGACCACAAAAAACTCTAACAACAAAAGTGAACAAAAAAGCAAAGTTGTCATTAACCAAATCAGCTTGGGAACCAAGATCGATCGGCAGTATCCTCGCTATTACTCAAAAGCTCGTCAATCTTCTTGAATGATAGATTTCAACTTGGCCGCTTTTTTATGTCGAGAGTTACCTGTCCAGAACAACAGAAAATAGGCTACATTAGGTGCCACCTTGGAATGATCTCTAATTTTACCATTAAACATCATATTGTTTATTTCTCTCCATAAACACCAGCACAATGTAGGCACTAAGATGGACCAAAGCAAACGATAGTTCTTATCATTGATAAACTACCCCTTAGACTTCTTTATTTGAAAAAGATCATGTTGGAAAGAGGTAATTCTCAGCGAAGGAAGAAAGAATTGTCTTATATCACGAGTATATTGATATTTGATGAAGAGATGATCTATTGATTCCTCAATTTCATGATAGACAAGGCATAAATGGTCTCCTATCCATCCTTTGTTGATCAAATTATCTTTAGTTTGTAGTTTGTTCTGAGCTAACAACTAGAAGAAAATCTTAACTTTGAGAGGTATATATGAATCTGTTGATGGCTGATATCAAACAGTCAATGAGAGAAGTTATTTGGTTGATGGAGGTCCTCTAACCCTCCAAAATTTTGGTTTTGAAGTGGGCTATTCTTCCCGGCACAGATAGAAAATTGTAAGAGGGCGGAGTTGTGTTCTTTGATTGTTCTTCCAATAATCAAGTCAGTAATTTGCTTAAGTGGAGAAGTGATTGAACTGTTAAATTTCTTAAGTATTATGGGTAGAGATAAAGATCTTATATTTTTATTGAAAATAGTACCCATATTTATAGTGGTAATAGAGGGGTAGGATGGTAACTTCGATCGAGTATGTGCTGGCGGTCAAGTCAGCATCTGCTTTACAGGTATCGGCCGATGAGTGGAGGGGAGGTCACATTCGTGTTTAATATGAAGTGACTGGTGGCGTATGGTGCCAACGTGATCTGATGTGTGATAAAGACTATTGAGGACAGAGAAATGATGGCGCCGATTATGCATTTTATGGTGTTTATTGTAAGGTGATCAGTTGTCAGTTCATGGGAGGGGGCTCGAGGCTTGAGGTAGTCATCGCCATTCTACTCGCCCATTAGAAGGTCAAAAAGTACCACCTTTTGAGTCACCTTCACGAGATGTCGGTCGAGTAGGTTGACAAGAAGTCGACATATAATGCCTTTTGAGTCGCCCTCGCAAGATGTCGGCTTGTCGAGTCATCCAAGCTGGGTATTTTGTTATCTTGAAGTGAAGAGCTGACTCGGTTATACATAATGTGGGACACTTGTTTTCTATTGATTAGAGATTACTTTTTAGCACTAAAACGCATGTAATAGTTGGTCCATTTTACTTGGAGTTGACCTAGACCTGGTCTGAGTGAAATGTTACAGGTCTTGCAAAGTCACAAGGAGCATTAATGAGGGGGAGGTTGAGCAGGGGCAAGGGGCCCAGTGTGTCGGTCGAGCAGGCTCAAGCCAACCTAGCAGTGAAGGTGGAGGTTTCTACGGTGAGTCCCAAGGAGGGCCCACAACTAGGCATCCTTCCTGTCCAGACGATAGAGGTTATCATCCTTTATGAGGCCTCTCCTCCTAAACAATCAAAGGGTGACCAAGGGGCTGTGCCGGCCGTAGCCGAAGCCCAAGCTGAGGAGTCGGCAATTCTGACTCCTTTACCAGAGTTTGCCCACATGCTGGGTAAAGAGCCAGTAGAGGCGTCAGAGGTTGTTAGAGAGGAGGCGGCTCTATGTTAGTCGGCTAGGGAGCTATCGAAGGCTGATGCCGCCTGGGTACCGGAGGGGGCTTTAGCTGCCCATTCCGCCATTGCATCCCTGAGATTGATACCCAAGTATGGGACGAGCTCAGAGCCATGTTGATTGGTAATCTGAGAGGGGCCTCTACACATCGAGAGGAGCTTTCGGAGGATGACAAGTTTATCCTAAATAGACCTCTACATAGGGAGAGCTTAGTCAAGGATAGCTCAGGTCCAGGCCTTGGAGCAGTTTTTACTCCAAAGGGATCACTGGTCTGCATCTGGCCCTTAAGGGCTATCTTCTACAGGGTGGTCTGATTGAGCAGGAGTAGTTCTCTCGGCTTACTTTGGTGCAGAGACTCCCGGCACGATTTTGAGGAGGCTATGGTAGCTAAAAGTGTGGCCG